ATGTGCAAGGGTACGGCCAACTACAGGAGAGACAAGCAAGCCAATGCAGTGGATTGTGAGCAACACACCAACACACACTGGGGATATCAAGAAGAAGAGTTTTTAGAAGATATGTACTTGTACCAGCTGCAGCGAGGCAAATCACAGACTCCAGTGGTCGCCATTCACATCAATGGCATTCCCATCAGTTTACACTTGGACACGCAGGCTGATGTCACAGTCATCACTGAAAAGCATTATGGAAAGCTTCGGACCAAGTGTCCCCTACAGCAAACCAGCATGGCGATCAGAAGCTACTCTAGAGAAGGCAAAGGCCCGGTGCTACCCCTGCTTGGAAAATTCACAGCGGCACTAGTCCAGGGGGAAAAGGAGACGTACGTAGTTAAAGGACAAGGTGACACAGCACTGCTAGGCCATGGGGCCGCTGAACGTATGGGCCTCGTGGAGCTCCACCTGGACCTGACAACAAGCCCACTATTACCAGTCATGGGGGAAATGCTACAAGAGACCGTTGATCTGGTTGAAGAGTACAAGGATGTGTTCACGGGTTTAGGAAAGCTAAGAGGAGTAACGGTGAAATTACACGTGGACCCCGACGCAAAAGGTGCAGTGCAGAAATAGAGAAGAGTATCTTTACCACTCAGAGACAAATTTGATGAGATCTTGGACAAGTGGGAGAAAATGGATATCATAGAATGGGATGGTGCAGCAATGTGGTTCTCACCCCACAGAAAGACAGAGAAAACATAAGGGCAAGCTTGGACATGACAGATGCCAACAAGCTCATAAAGAGAACTAGACATGTCATCCCTACCTTAAGAGAGCTGGAGACAAGACTTAACGGAGCCAAAAATTTCTTGCACCTCGACATGAACGATGGATACATGCAGCTGGAACTGGCCAAAGAAAGCAGAAAGCTTACCGCATTCTACACGCACAGAGGGCTCAAACGCTTCAAAAGTCTACACTTCGGGGTCAACAGCACAGCTGAGATTTTTAACAAGGAGATTAGAAAGATCGTGGCCCAAGAGCCCAATGCCATAAGCATCTATGATGACATATTAGTCTTCGATGCAACGCATGACGATGCACTCAGACATATACTCAAGCTGTGGCACGAGCACGGGCTCACACTTAGCCTGAAGAAGAGCAGGCTCAACCTCTGGGCAGTGAAGCTCTTCAGCAAGGTGTTCTCAAGCGAAGGAATATCACCAGACCCAGATAAGGTGGCAGCCTTGAAGGCTGCAGGTCCCCCACAGTCTGTAGGGAGGTGCGCTCCTTCCCATTCTTCACTGGCACAAATGTGGACTTCATGCAAGGATTTGCACAGGCCACCGCACTGCTGAGAGAGCTACTCAAGGTGAATGCTAAGTTCCAGTGGACACCAGAATGCCAGAGATCATTTGAATGGGTCCGGGAGATGCTGACGAGTGACACGGTGATGGCATACTTTGATCCACGATGAAAGACAAAGCTGAAGACCGACGCAGGACCAGGCAGAATGGCAGTCACCATGAAGCAGCTCGATCCTGAGGCCAAGCGATGGCCACCGGTCACCTATCGGTCAAGAGCATTCACTGACACTGAGGGCAGATACTCTCAGCTTGAGAAAGAAGCAAAAGCGGTGGAGTGGGGCATCTTTGCTAACCAGATATACCTATATGGCATCGGAGACACATTTGAGGTTGACACGGACCACAAACCACTGGTACCGCTGCCCTTGGGCTACAGAACAACAGCACCACTCCGTCTGGAGAGGATGTGCATCCGCCTACAAGGCTTTAACTTTTGCCTTAACTACGTGCCGGGAAAGAAAGAGGGTGCGGAGAACAAAAAAGCAGACTACCATTCACGGCATCCAGAGCCACTGACCACACTTAAAAAAACCCATCCAGTAAAAAACAAGCCGAATTTGAGCTAAAAGAGACCATAGAAGAGTTCAAGAAGGGTATCATGGCTATTGTGAAGTCCTCAGTGCCTGAAGCAGTCACCTCGCAGGAGCTGCTCGAGGAGACACAATCAGACACTGAAATGTCGGACCTGAAACAAGCCATAGCTAGAGGATACTTCACAGCACAAGAGAAGAAAACACTCGGACCGCAGTTCGACTCTATCTTCAGCGAGTTTGCTGTGGTAGGAGGGCTGGTGGTCCGAGGACCAAGAATTGTAGTTCCCAGGATACTGCGGAACAAAGTAGTCAAACTAGCGCACAAGGGCCACCAAGGTATCACCAAGACCAAGAAATATCTGCGTACCACACAGTGTGGTTTCCTGGGCTAGAGAAAATGGTTGAGGTGCACATTCAGCAATGCCACCCGTGCCAGGTAGTGAACGTGTCACCGGAACGGAAGCCATTACACATGACACCCATACCCAGTGAGCATTGAAAAGAGGTTGCTGTAGACTTTTGGGGCCCCATACATACTGGAGAGTATCCGCTGGTTACGGTGTGCAAGCAGTCCAGATGGGTGAAAGTGGAACTGGTCACCTCCACCAGCACCAGGGCGGTGATACCCAAAATGGATAAAACTTTTGCCTCGTTGGGCATACCAGTGTCGGTGAGCAGTGACAACGGACCTCCGTTCAGCAGCTAGGACTTCTGCGACTTTGGGAAGTACTTGGGCTTTCGTCATGAGCGAAAGACGCCACTGAACCCGCAGGCTAATGCAGAAGCTGAGCAGTTCATGAGAGTACTGAAAAAGCTGTACCAAGTAAGCAAGTTCACTGGATCGAATTTCAAGCAGGAGATATACAGATTTCTGTGTGCCTACAGAGCGACTCCTCACTGCACCACTAAAATTGCTCCCGCAGATCTGATATATCCCGGTCGCAAGTTCCGCACCAGACTTCCCATCGGAGTTGTTACTCGTGAGCATAACTTTGAAGAACTGTTTCAAAGAGATTTAGAGAGGAAAATGCAAATGAAAGGGTACGCAGACAACAAGAGATATGTCAAATCCTCTGACATACAGGTGGGAGACTCTGTGCTAGTCTGAAGGGAGGCAATCAACAAGGCCATACCCGCCTGAGGCAGAGCTACTGCAGATGCAGTGCAGGAAAGGCACCAGGGTGATAGCCGAAAGGCCTGATGGCAGTTCCATCACAAGGACCACAGCCCACTTTAAGCAAGTTCCTTTCAGATCGAACGAAGAGGCCCACAGGTGGTCCAGTCCGAAAAGCTTAGTGAAGCATCTCAACGAGTCACCACTAAGCACAAGAGAAGGTGGGCCGCCTGGTTTGGAGCAGACCGACAAAAACATGATTGAGACGGTGGCTGAAGAATCCATCCCAGCCAAGGATGCCCTCTCAGACAGGGCAGCCGCACCACCTGCTTGGGGTCAGGGACCGAGTTGAAGTGAGAGGCACCAAAAAGACCCAGACACATATTTAAAGCAAAACTACCCAGACTGTCAGCTGTGAGGCTGAAGTTAGAGAACTGTTCCCGGTCCATAATGGATCTGAAACATTGACTTCTTTCGTTACGAGTTTTGTTATAATTTTCTTCCTTTTTGTATGTCTGTTGTGTTACCTTTTTCTTTCTTGTGTGCCTCTCCCCTGAAACTGTGTGTAAGCAAGGGGGGAATATAGTATCGTACGTTAGGACTGGGTCCTAGGCCCACTGCATGCTGGGACAATGGAGGCCCGGTTACGGGGCCCTTGTAGTTTACTCACTAGCATGGCCGCTTTAGTCTATTAAACCTATGGCCTATCCTATGGCCTACCAGTGGTCAGATTTTAAAAGCATAGCATTGCTGCAAACCTGTTAACGTTGCCCTGGGGACTATCTTACCAACGACTTTCTTCTGCTGCTCTTACGGACATATAAATATCCGATAAATATGAGTTGTATATCTGCCAGTGGACTGGGTTCCACTTTCTGTCAGAAAGCTTACAGGATATCTGGGGAGTGTCAGAAAGCTTACAGGATGCCTGGGGAGGATTCGGATGTGAGGTATGTAAAGTAATAAATATTTTCATTTTAAGAAGTGCCAAATAATCTAGTGTAGCAAATCCGGCAGTATTCTGAATGTTAATCAAATGTTGCAGCATTGTAAAAGAAGATATTACGTTTTCGCATTGCTTACATCATCCTTAATGTAATAACATCTGGTTGTCTGAGCATGAATGTAACTATTTGCACACGTTTTTTAAATGAAGATGTAAGTAAGTAAGTTCAGCTGAGGTTTTGGAATTCCTTATATTTTCACTAAAACGATAACTCTGGAAGCTGTGGTTGGAACTATCAGTTCAATGTGCCTCTCCATCCTTGAATGAACATAATCAACTGCGCGTGTAGTAATACTGTGGGAACATATATAGCAATGAATGGTTGTAGTTTCCCTGAATTGGCATATTTTAGGGAAAATACTGTAAGCTTCCTCCGGTTTTCATTGGCTCTTGAATTCTGGAAGACGTTCAAATACTGGTTTTCAAAATATTATAAGCAAGATGTTTGTGAGAAAAGGTTACAAATATAAATACTAAATACTATCCTACTTTAGCGTGGAGGAGATAGTAGCGCGATTAGATGATCTTGAATCACCAACGAAAAAAGGAAACGGTAACCAAAGGAAGGGAGAAGTAAAGTAAGTTACTTCAAAGCGTTATATAATCTCATATGTTTTTAAGAACGCACTCACAGTCCCCTTTAGACCACTGTAAGTTTTGATTAAATTCACTCATTCAGCTTGGTATGTTTCTAGGGGAGGGAGGGGGTACTCAGTTATATTAGTGACAGTCATTTACGAAGACCGGCTTTTGGGATTCAAAAAGCCATCTGATGACAGTTTTGGGCTTAGAATTTTTGTGGCGACATTTCCAGGATTAGAGATTTTGGAGTGGATTATTTTAAGGTGGTGAGGGGGGAGGGAGGGGTCTGACAAAAAGCAAACCCGGGATAAATTCCGAAGATCTTCAACGATTAGGGGAGGTCGCCAAATATTTCCTACAGTCTCCCGAAGATTGTCGAAAACCACCCGATGACTGCCACATGAAGTTCACTTTTTATGATATTCACAAGTAATCATTTGTTTTCTCGTATCTCCAGAATTTGTAAGTGTCTGAAAACAGGCGTAATATTAATATCCTAAGAAAATGATGTACACTGCGTTAGTTCGCCCAATCGTCGAGTACGTATTCTCTGTATGGTCTCCTTACACAGCAAAGCAGCGTAGGCTAATCGAAAATATACAACGAAGGGCTACTAAATTTATACAAAACTACCCAGATAGGGAACCCAGATAGGGAAATCAGCTACACTGCGGGACTGAAAACTCTTAGCCTACTTCCGCTTGAATTCAGAAGAGAAGTCCATGATCTTGTCATTTTATACAAAATTAGGCCAGGTCTTATCAACGCTAGCTTTGACCATCTTCTGCTTCCTGCCAACCATACATACGCAACCCAACGTCATCATCCCGCAAACATCCGCCCTTTATTTACTCATACTCAGTGGTATTTTACAAACTCTTTCTTTCCTCACACAATTAAATTATGGAACGATTTACCGAGCAACATTAAGCAAGCAAGCTCTTTACATAACTTTAAAGCCTTAGTTAAGCGGTTTTACACAGAAAAGCTCACGTTTTATACTCTGCCCTAACCAAGTGTCACAGATGGTC